TCGTCGCCGCCAGCATTGGGCGATCCCTTAGCCTCGTCGGCAGGGCTCTCAGAGCGCTCAGGTCTCTTTGAGTCGTGATCAACGTGATCACTAGCGAGCGAGTGCAGGCTGTTAACGCTGTGCTTGCTGGACACTGGAGTGTGCCCTCCTACGGAGCACCCAGATACACTGCGGAAGCGCCGGGCCTTGGCCTCGTTCTCAGAACCAGGACTGTGCTCATGGACGGTCGTCTGGGAACATTGAGGGCGACCGACTGCGGCGTGAGCTTCGCCGCTAGATCGCAGTCGAGTCACTCGAGGCATCAACCGCCTTGGAGACTACGTTAGTAGCCTCCTTGAGCGCCGAGCCATTGCCATGATGCTTAGAACTCTTAGAACTCTTGCCGTGCGCCTTTCGGGCAGCAGCCTTGACGGGAGCTTTCGCACCGCCCTTCGCAGTACCACGAGGCATGATGAGGTCGAAGGGGAGACCGAGAAGACGAGCGTTGTCGATCAAAGGTCCAAGTGTGGAATGAGCCCCAGCCGCGTCCCGCAGCTTGTCAAACTTTTTCGACTCGGAGAATGAGAGTTTGTGACTCTGTCTCCCTCTTGTGATTGGTCGATAAACCGAACCTAAGTGGGGGAGGATGTAACGGGGTACGTACCCCAGTGTACCCAAGTTACATGAAGAGTGACCAGTCACTCTTGTAATACCTGGTACATGGTACCAGGGGCTCTAGAAGCCAATCATTGCATCTCTACATAGTCTTACTATAGGTGACGTATAGTTTCTATTAGAAACCAAGCTAAGATTACCTATAAATACATTTAGTCTTAAACGTACCCTTAATTGAGTACTTCGTCCCGTCAGACCAGGGTCACGTGAACTGTCGTTCACTTAGAGTTTGTATACTCTTGGAAGCCTACTTCCTCAGCGCAAGGTGCTGTGTGACCCCGTCACAAATTATCAGTGATAATATATACAATGAGGGTGAGTGTGATATTCCCATATCACATCAATGTCGTTGGTAGTTATTCACACGTGCATAGCAAATTAGCACAGGCTTAACCCTTTAAACGCGGACGCTGACAAGAACAGGATAGGAACTTTCGTAAACCCTCCTGGATGGTAAAAAAAATCAAGTTAACTCCGGTATTCTATTCTATGTTCGCTTTGTTGCTAACCTCGCGCCTAATAATTCGCAAAGGAAATGATGATTTGCTCTCTGTGACCAATCCAATGGTTTCAAAAAACGAAATTATTTTTAGAAATTCACTCCATGATGGACTTACAAAGCTGTAACGTGCACATAACGCAAAATCATGTTCATTTGCTATCGTTGCTGAAACCTACGCCACGGTCTCTTACGAGACCAGCCTTAGGGGTAAACTCACCATTACGCCAAGTAATGTGCCATATTTGCCCACAAGTGAGCCTTCGATTTGCTCGTAGTTTCGCACCTTGTTACACATAGTAACAAGGCCTCTCTTCCCTTCGGAGCATTTGGGCAATAGTAGGTGCTTGTGCCTCCTCGTTTCTTGTAGCTGGGTTTGTAGATAGAGCATACGTTGCATTGACGCTGACGAATACGCTCCACACCACTGTTCACCCTAGTATCACCAGACTGAACCAATGTGTGATCATGTGTTACAGCAATCGATCTGTTTGCAACAGCCGGTGCTGCTTCACGCGCGGTCGTTCTTGTGAAACTGCTAGTGGTCTCGTGGATAATTTGCTCGTGCAAAATAGTCATGTACTAGTAGTGGCTGTATAGTTTCTTGTTCTGCTTCACCGCATTGCACTTGTGCGTGATGTATCCATTTACCAGTGCCATGTCAACGAGTTCTAGGAATAAGCCTTTGTAGTACTTGCGAAATCTAAATCATAACACCGACAAGAACAGCATGAGCGTTTTGATCATATACACACCCGGACAGTATAACGAACCTGCAGGACATCTGTATCGAGTAGGACTGAAGTCGGAGCTGGTCATGGCGGTCAACACCGCCCATATACTGCAGGTATGGGCATACCACACTTGGGCAAGAACCCGTTGTCAACGTTCCCTTCGCGCAGCCGACGTCAACTCTGTTGACACCTGTGATGCCAAGAAATAGACCGGTTTATTGTCAACCCAACCCAATGCAATCATACCCGGATTGTGTGTGGCTACTGCCATCTTGAACTCGCCTCGCAGAAAATCTCGTGGTCTCTTCTTGAAGGAATATTCTACTCCCTAAGCCGTATTCTACTGCTGTGATATCCGTAATTCCAAAGGTCGCATAACGTTTTAATGTCGATCATTGTATGAAGCGCCCGGTCCACAGGAACGGGGTTTGAAAACAAACCATCTCCCCATTCCCAAGACTGCCAATTAACAAGATAATGGCTTTCTTGCTCACTGGTTGAGTAATTAAACCTCACATACAAGCCGTAATTTC